CGCAGATCTGCGGGCTTCCTGTGGCGGTTGGCGGCTTCACGTACGATCGACCAGTCGTACTTGGCACTGACAGGCTTGTCAGTAGTACGACTGGCGTTGCTTGTTCGTGGTGTAGAGAGGGTACGACTAGCGTACGTCTCGCCCGGAGCTGCGGATTCAAGCCCTGTTGGTGCGGATGTGGGTACTGGTACACCCGTGGCGGGAATGTTTGTAGCTGCTCGGTACGAGTACTCATCCTGGTGGCTGTCGAGGGCGCGATTAGAGACATCGATGGGCTGGTGGTGTTGTGTCAGGGCGCGAAGCTCCTCCCTGAGTTCTGCAATGGCGGCATCTTTTCCTTTCTCCTTTTCGAGAGAGATTTTTCGTAGGTCGGAAACTTCTGCTACCAGGTTTCGGACCGTCTCCATTAGGTCAACCATCATCTTCGTTAGCGCAGTAGCATCAGTACTGGTACATTCACATCCTCCTGCCTGCTTTGTGACCCTGTGTGTGTCGATCTGATCGTCCAGTGGTTGCAACTTTCCCCTCAGGGCGCCTACCAATTGCACTCGGCTCGGGCCGGCCCATTTGACGTTATTGGCCTTTGCCAGTGACTCCAAGCCTTCACTATCCAAAATTCCGAAGTCAATGGACGCCATGCTCCCGGTTGGGGGAGCAAGACGTCAGACGTAAAAAACTCGCAACCACACTCGTCAACGACACAGCCCTGTGTGCACGTACGAGACTTCGTGTGCATTCAACTCAAATTCGTGTTCCGTCAGCGTCAGTGTCAGCAAGTACATGTAGTACAATTTGTTCCCAAAATGACTTCGGGACAGTCTGGTCATGGTTTTCATTTGTACATGTATTGGACTCGTTCTTGCGATAATTTAGCGGCAATTCTAATGTTGTAGCGTTGTTCTCTTGTAATTTCGTGGAACCTGTATTGAGTAAATGAGTTTTATGTTTCATTACATTGTCGACAGGTCTCCTGTGTACCGGTTTTGTGGCACAATGATTATAGCCATTTGTCGTCTCCATTCTTGTAAAATCATGCATATGTCGGTTGGTTCTCTTCATGTTCTTGCGACCTATTTCATAGATGTTGGTTGCCTTGTTGCTTTCTCTCCCCTCTCCTCTCACCCAAGCCATTCTGCGTAAGCGAAGCTGTGGACGCAGCATACTGCTGCTTCACTTCAAATCGGGAATGCGTATAATAATAATAATAATAATAATACAAAAGAGAGAGAGAGAGACTGCGATTGGAAGCTTTGTTACAACTCTGAGTTTCACGTTTTACTACGATCATCAGGCAACCCCCCTGCCTGATGATCGTAGTAATATGCGGAACTCAGAGTTGTAACAAAGCTTCCAATCTCTCTCTTGTGTACAAGGCTCTGCCCTACATGGGTATGGGAGGACTCTTCAGACAGTGCCGCTGAAGCAAACCACTTGACTACAAAATAATAACTAGCAGCACCCCCGGCCAGCGTTGCCTGGCCGAACGTGGCATGCGGGTGAAGCAAGTACATGAACAGCACACGTGCTCAGCACGTGGTGGTGGCCAGACCGCTGAAGTCCTGGTGAGGGAGGTTCTTCATCGTTGGAAGGAGAAGGAGGGACGTCTGTTACGCCTTCGGGAGGCTGGTCAGGGTTGTCCATCACCTGGTGGCGGATGAAGCGGCTCAAAAAATTCATAAAATTACGTACAAAGGTGCAATGCGCTCTTCACTGCAGATCAGATGCAGAGTGCAGTCAGTGCAGATCTTTTGTATCCTTTTGTTGCAGATGTTTCTATTTGCAGAGAACGGTTCACGTGGTCCGCAGCGCTTGTGCGGCTGCTAGTGCTACCTAGGCTAGGTGGCGACATGATTCGCACGCTTCGCGTGCTCAGTGCTTCTGCCCGCGGCTGCTACTGCTACTCGTAGATCTACTGATCGTGTCTGCTACGTAGCGCTACCTACACACACACACACGTCACAGGTGCCTCTTCTTTAGTATGGCCTAGGCACGTGGCATGAACAGCACACGTGCTCAGCACGTGGTGGTGGCTACACGATTCGCACGCTTCGCGTGCTCAGTGCTTTAAGGGGAAGTTAAGGCAAAAACTAAAATTTCACCAGTTGTAGTCTTCGGGGTGCTGAGTCGAATGGTCTTGGTCCGAGAAAGCTGAGACGCTCCCTTCCTACTTGAATCCCAATCGAACTCGCGCACTTCCACCGAAACTGGGTGACTGCGCCCTACGAGATGGGGATTTGTATGCAAAATGTCACTAAAAGCGCCATTTCGTTCTTATAAAAGCACGGATGACCGCGATTGGCCCATATGTTGTAATCTTTTGGACGCTGAATCGACTGGGTTTGGTCCGAAAAGGCTGCGATGCAGCGTTCCTCCTTTATTCCCAATCGAACATGGTTGAAGAAGCGGTCACGTGCTCCTGGGTGCCCAAATCACCTGGTCACCACGCCAGCAGGCGACAACTTTCACACCAAGGTTCAACTCGAGTGACAGGACTGCACCCAAAAAAGGTCAAAACAGGCTGTAAGTTGTACCCTGCAGGCACGGTGACCAGGTGACTGGTGTACGCAGGAGCACGTGACCGCTTCTTCAACCATGTTCGATTGGGAATTAGGGGCGAACGCTGCATCGCAGCCTTTTCGGACCAAAACCAGTCGACTCAGCGTCCAAAAGACTACAACATATGGGCCAATCGCGGTCATCCGTGCTTTTATAAGAACGAAATGGCGCTTTTAGTGACATTTTGCATACAAATCCCCATCTCGTAGGGCGCAGTCACCCAGTTTCGGTGGAAGTGCGCGAGTTCGATTGGGATTCAAGTAGGAAGGGAGCGTCTCAGCTTTCTCGGACCAAGACCATTCGACTCAGCACCCCGAAGACTACAACTGGTGAAATTTTAATTTTTGCCTTAACTTCCCCTTTAAAGGGGAACTCCACGAAAAAATGAAACTTTGATAGCCTGTAGAGTTTCGGGCGCTGAGTCGAATAGTCTTGGTCCGAAGCCTCTACGACGAAGCGTTCTTGAGATATTTCACTTTGAAATTGCAAAAACGGGGGCCGCGCCCTGACGTCATGCGGCCATTTGGTTACATCATCACGGGCTGCCTACGTCATTGTGGCAAAGTCGTTTCTCTTCGCCAATCTACAAGCACTAATTTTAGTTGGTATTTCAAGGGAAGATGGGCGATTCCGAACAATCCTCTGTCCCCAGCAATGAAGGCAGCGATGCTGAGGCCAGTGAGGACGACCAACAGCCCACCGCCGCGTATGGTTGGGGCAGGGAGCCCAGATACTCTGCTGAGGAGCTGCCATCGCGTGTAACAAATGTTGAGGAAGAAAATGCTTCAGCAGCTGCGTCCGACAGAAGACGAGTAGCTTGGCCACCAGAATCTCGATTCGTTTGGGACTCCGACTGGTGCGAGCGTGGACAAAAGTGTATAGCCATGCCCAGCCTGCGGAAATGATTTTGCTGGTAGGATGCTGCCGTCGTTGTCGACAAGACGGCCCAAGGTTTCTTGCGTAGCGGACCTCGCAGATTACGAGATCGTATCCTTGCATTAGGCTGTGCCCATCACTGCTCTTCGAGGTTATCTCGACATGCAGAAGCCGCCAATGCCGGTGGCAGCAGTTGCAGTAGTGTAGTTAGGTAGCTAGGTTGTGCACAACGAGAATCTTTGCGCCATGGGTGAGCTCTCAAGCGCGGAGCAGGTGAAGCTACTTTGTAGCATTCCCGGAATACATCACAACGTGGTCAGCCTTGTAGATACTTTGAATGCTTTCGTCAGTGAAGCCAGAAACAACGAAGTACGCCTCCAGCGGAGAGTAGACGAGCTCGCCGGCCTGGTCTTGGATTTAAGGCAAGAAATGAAGTCATTGAAGGAGTCCGCCATTATGGCAGTCAAGCAACCATTTTCAAAAAGCGAGCTGGGCAAGGAGATCAAGAGTGCAGGTAGTAGTAGTACTACGAGTAAGAGTACCCGTACCAGTAGTCCCGGACAGTCAAAGTCACGCGCAAGTGACAGTGCAAAACTGCCAAACCAGCAGGTAAAACACGTGGGAACCCACACTGAACCCCGTACCCGTAGCGCCGCCACACCCTGGCACGCAACCAAGACAGTGCCCTCTGGGGACACAGAAATGGAGTATTCTGAGTCTGATGCAGGGGATACTGGACTCCTGCCTGCCAGTGTCAAGCCCGTTTTCGGTGCTACTGCTGCCAACGCTGGGCCTATCCAGGACACCCTACGGGCCGCTGCAGGTAGTGTTGAACCTGAAACTGGCAACACAGAGCAAGAGGAAGTGGATGCCATAAATGACGACAGCTGGCAGCTGGTCGCTGCAGCCCCACCAAGACGCCGGAGAGCAGTAGTGTTTGTTGGTAACCTTAGCAGCACCTGCACAATGGAGGGTCTCACGGAGTTTGTGCACCGCCGGTCTGTAGCAGCCACAGGGAACATCATAGATGTCCACTCATGCAATGTACACACGGCAGCTAGCGGCAAAGTATCCGCCAGGGTCACCATCGATGCAGCTTGCCTGGCCACTGTGACCTCTGCCAACTTCTGGCCTCGGCCTCTCTACTGCAGGACATGGAAATTCAATCCACCCAAGAAGAGCAGCGGCAACGACAAGGCCCACAGCAGCAGTAATGGTGGCAGTGGCGACGGCAACGACAATGCCCACAGCAGCAGTGACGGTGGCAGTGGCGACGACAGCAGCGGAAACGACTGTGGCAGTGGCGGCGGCAGCAGCAGTGACGGTGGCAGTGGCGACGGCAACGACAATGCCCACAGCAGCAGGGACGATGGCAGTGGCGACGAGAGCAGCGGAAACGACTGTGGCAGGAGCGGCAGCAGCAGCCGCCGCAATAGCAGCAGCGACAGTTCTCCCAAACCCGGCGCTGAGTTAACTCGGACCCCTGGGCAGAAGTCACGACCCCACCAGCGTGGTTCTCCCGCTGAAGACCAAGCTGCAAAGCGCGTGGCTCCAGTCAGCAAACAGTGATGTCTGCTGCCAGCCATATACCCCTGCTAAACCCCAATGCTACTCCCTTCCAGCCTCGAAGGTCCCGGGGCTCCCAAAGAACAACCAACTGCAACAACCTCAAACTGTTCGTCACGAGCCTCAACATCGGGTTTTTGAATATCTGCAGCCTGCGCTACAAGCTGCATGCACTGGACAGCCTTGCCCACCAGCACAACTGGGGCGTCGTTGGCGTTGCCGAGACCTGGCTGGATAGTACAATCTCGGATGGCGAAATTTGTATTCCCGGCTACAGTGTTGTTCGCTGTGACCGGCCCGATCGCCAGGGTGGGGGCACATGCCTCTATTACAAGACATCACTCCCAGTTACCTATCGTTCTGATCTGCACAATAGCCACCTGGAGGCTACCTGGATAGCTATTGGCGGAGGGCAACACCAGCACCTCGTTGGCTGCCTCTATCGCCCACCAAATGCAACTGCTGATTTCTGGGGCCACCTGGACACAGTCCTCCACAATGCTGCCACGATCACGCCATCAATGACATTGGTGGGTGACTTTAATATCAATCTGGCTCAATGCATGACCAGTCGTCCTCACCAGCGCTTCTGGGACCTTATCGGATCGTATGGGCTCCGCAACTATGTTCAGTCTGCCACACGAGTCACACCCCGATGTCCCGATGGAACGCTGCTTGATCTAGTGCTCTCCACCGTGGGTACTATAAGTCATTGTGAAGTTGTACCCTGCACGATCAGCGATCACTTCCTTGTGCATGCAAGTCTGTCTCTACCCTCCTCGCAACACCCACTGCAGCGGAAATCAGTGCGCCTCACCCGCAAGATCCGTGCCATTAACCTTGCAACATTTCGTGAAGATATTGCCTCGTGCAGCCTCCACTCCTTTCCCCCTGCTGCAACTGTAGACGAGATGTGGAATGGCTGGCATGCCAAGTTTATGTCGGTTCTCGAAAGTCACGCTCCCCTGCGTGAAGTCAGAATCTCCACCAGGAGGACTCCCCCGCCATGGTCCGACCGTGATATATTCCAACTGAACATGCGCAAGAATAGACTTCACCGAAAGTGGCTACGAGATAAGACTAACGTGCATCTACATGAGGAGTACAAGCGAGCCCGTGCAGAAGCCTCAAATGCTTACCGGCGAAAACGCAATCAGCATTTCCAACAGCAGTGTCGTGATCACTCCTCCAACCTGCGGAAGATGTGGTCCGTGATCAACTCTGTCACTAGCCGTTCTCGTCAACATCATCAGCCAACGTGCGACATCACAGAAGTCTCGGATGCCTTCCACAGCATTGTACATGATCCGTCCCGTCCGGCGCAGCTCCAGATTCCCATTGGTCCACAGCCGCAAGGCTCAATGCTGACCTTCCAGTCAACTACCCCAGATGAGGTCAAGCACCTCCTGGAACGGATAAATCCCTGCAAAGCCACAGGCAGTGATGGGATTCCTGGGTGTCTGCTACGTGCTTGCGCTGACCTGTTGGCTCCATCGCTTTCAGTGCTCTTCAGCTCATCGCTGAGGCATGGTGAAGTCCCTCTGGCTTTCAAACATGCTGTAATAAGCCCTCTCTTCAAAGCTGGCGATCCATCGGTAGCTGCAAATTATCGTCCTGTGTCGCTCCTGCCGATCGTATCCAAACTACTCGAAAAGATAGTCCAGAAGCAACTTGTTGCACATCTGGAGCGATCATGTGCCATACCACCGACTCAGTTTGCCTTCCGCCGTGAGCACTCCACAGAGGACGCCCTAGTTGTAGCAACAGATGCCATCTTAAAGGCCCGGGACGACAAGTTGACCACAGGCGTCTGCCTAATCGACATGTCAAAAGCCTTTGACAAGGTCAATCACAGCCAACTGGTCCGGGACCTATTCGATCTTGGCCTGGGCAATGCCTCCCTTCGCTGGTTCTGCAGCTACTTAAGCGATCGAACCCAGCAAGTGCGCATTGGCCCCACCTACAGTGTTGCTGCTAAGTGCTCATCTGGTGTACCTCAGGGCTCGGTCCTAGGTCCGATCCTGTTTAGCATGTACACCCGTGATGTCCCTGCCATAGCCCATCCTGCTCCATCTCTGCAATTTGCCGATGACATTGCAGTGCATTGCCACAGAAAATCAGTGCTAGCCACATCAGCCTGCCTGTCAGGGGCCGTCACCAACGTCGCTGACTGGCTCAAGCATCGACATCTGCTACTAAATGACAAGAAGAGCCAGGTCCTGTCAATTGTACCACAACGCAATGCGGGTCAGCATGTCGCTGTCCGCTGCAACCAGACAGAGCTTCCCCTGAGCCCAACAGCAAGGTACCTCGGCGTGACCCTTGACGCCGCTGTGAAGTGGGACCCCCATGTTGACGCGATGGCGAAGAAAGTTGTGCAGAAGATTGGAGCATTGTGGCGGTCCCGCAGATGTCTGAGCCTCAGTAGTCGCATCCAGTATGTGAGGTCAGTCATCATGCCTGACCTCCTATATGGGTCTAACGCCTTCTCTTCCTCCCTCAAGGTTTCGCAGCTTGATCGCCTTCAGGTCCTGCAGAACCGAGCGGCGAGAGCGGTATACGGTTTGCCGCCTCACACCTCGGCTCAGCCTCTGCTCGAACGGATGTCCCTGTACAGAGTTCGGGAGTGCTACGCCCAGAAGCGGCTCGTCCTGGTGTGGCGCTGTGTCAATGGGAAAGCCAGCAGTGTCCTCCAGGACCTATTCTCACCATCAGCTGGCAGCACCACCCGGCACCAGGTTTCCAGGGGCCTCACTGTCCCCTCGGCACAGTCAGAAGCCGGCAGATCTCGCCTGGCCTTTCAGGCAGCCTTGGCCTGGAACGCTCTCCCAAGGAGTGTAAGGGAGATCAAGGCTGCCCAGCAACTTAAGCTTGCCTCCATCCCCTACACCTTGCAATGAATGCTCTGTCTGACTTTTCCCGTCCACACACCACGTCATTTACTCTTCTCTGCGTGCTTGTGCGCTTATGAACTCTTTGTGTTCCCTCTGTTGACGCTTCAAAATCGCTCTATTGACACTGCAAAATCGCTCTGTTGACGCTACAAAATTGCTCTGCGTGCTTGTGCGCTTATGAACTCTTTGTGTTCCCTCTGTTGACGCTTCAAAATCGCTCTATTGACACTGCAAAATCGCTCTGTTGACGCTACAAAATTGCTTATCATCTCCCTCCCTCCCTCCCCCCCCCCTCTCTCTCTCTCTCTCTCTCTCTCTCCCCGTAGCTCTCTCCCTTTTGAAATTCGCTTCCATAGAATTGGGCACCATTGCCCGTTTGGCCTTGCGAAGCAAAATAAAAATCAACAACAACAACAACAATGCCAGTGACAGAAGAGTCTGACATTAGGTAAGCCTCAATTAGTTTGCCTTGACTTGTCTTGTGAGGAGCGCGTATCAGCATGATACACTTATTCTTATTTTTTTGGGGAAATTTATTGTTGTCAGGCGCACTACAGCAGGCGTCGCACAAGAAAGACATTGTACGGGTAGTTATCACAAGTTTTATGCATGACACAAACAAATTTCTCTTTGCTCCGAGTATGTCTTGACTTATCTTGTGAGGATCGATGCGCGTAATGTTTTGTGTGTAACTTATTGTTGTCAGGCATAGCACGAACAACGTTGTTCTGTACTATAGTGCTATCACAAGTTTTCATGCATGCCTCACATTTGTCTTTGTCATTTCCCCTTGGATTGGTACGAGATCTACAAAGTATGGTAGGTAGTGTTCTGTTGGTGAAGAGAGCACTGCACACAGTTTATGAGCACCATGGGTGCATTTGATCACACCCGAACCCATACTTTATCGTTTCAAGCGATAGACTTTGTCGATAAACTCGTTCTCTAGTATACCATGGCATGCAACGTACAAGCGTGGGGTCAAGAAAGCGTACACCAAAATAATGCACAAATTCTGGTAGGAGAGTAAGAAATCTGCACTTTCTGACCAAGACATCTCTGTACTAGTAGGTAATCGAACGCGTCCTAATCAGTATTCATCCCCCAGATCATTGGAATTCAATTTGAAATCAGCAATTATGGTAAATTCTACAAGCCCTCCATCTTTGTACCAGTGGACACTAAATTGGTATGGCGCGCGCACTGAAAGTGCAGGTAGGTACCGGTAGGTGCAATACAGCGCATATGTAGAGTAAATGAGTATTTGACTATAATAATTATTACGGTACAGCAATGTGGTATGTGTACAAGCACTCATCATACACATTCCATATGACATTCTGTGTTTGTGTAGATCTCTACGCTATGCGGCACACAGGCAGTACACACTATGTACACGGCAAATTGGGCAAGCACGTTCGTTGTCGTCTTCCAGCCTGCGTTGTGAATACCATCAGGCAAAGATATCCAAATCCTGCACCACCTCAGCCTTCTCAGGAGGCTTCCACCTGGAATTTGGCAGGGAAACACGCTTCTCCAAGGCAGGAACATCGAGGTTGCCATTTGCAACCGCTACCACCTCACACATGAGCTTGTCAACATACTCATAGCTCTTTCTGTCGTATAATTTTCTATTTGGCCACAGTCTTCTTTATGCTTTGAGAACTGGACTTTATACCTTCCTATCGCGGTCTTTTTGGTTGTGCTGTGGCGACGGTTGACATTGACGTCGTCAAGAGCTGCGAGATGTGCGTGTCCAATCATCCCCAGAATTGAGAAACGAATGCGTTTGAGAATGTAGCTTGGCAGGACACTGTGATATACCTGCATGGCAAAAAGAATGTGGAGAAAACACACTTGCTTAGACAATATACTGCTGTATGAGAAAATGGAAACTTCACCGTACAGGACGACTCTTGTTCTCAATTGCATTGTTCGTTTCATTCCCTGTGTTGCCCATAAGAGATGGGAGCTAAAATGTTCAGCAGATGTTTGTTGTCTTCTGGCGTGGAGTGGCGGCGTCATTAGATGTACACATAGTCATTTCACTAAGTACACCACTACTACAGCATATGTACTATCCTTAGGCTAGCGTGCGTGCGAGTGAGTTTGAGTATGTGGGTGCGTATGTGTGTGTGTTGTTGTGTTTGTGTGTGTGCACGCACACGCGCGCGCGCATGTAGGTGAAGGTGTGAGTGCATGTGTATAATATGTGTAGTTCCCACTGTATTCCTTGCACAATAGGTCTTCACTTACTTTTCTTTCGCATACAACCAGAACCCATTCCTTGTTCGAAATTAGATTTTTTTGGCCTGGTGATCCCGCAAGCGTGGAACTTGGAGTGTAATAATTTTTTGTTTCACTTTACTTGCACTATTCCTAGGCTGTCCAGACTTCTAACAACTGCTCTGAGTGATATGGTATTCATGCAACCATGCCTAGAAGTAGGGTAGCTGTTATAAATAGAGACATATCCACGCAATAAAACTTACACAGGTTCAGTTTGGCAGGTTTGGTGAGACAGTTCGTCGTGCATGCTGCCTGCACATCGCAGGCAAACAGTTCTGTAACCTTCGTACTTGCTGGGGGTCTGTCTGTTTGCGTCCCAGTTGATGACAGATGTGCACAGTTTGAGTACTGGTATGCGCAAAGTTACTGGGGGTAATAATTAATATCGTTCATCAGCTAGCTGCAGTCGGAGTTGATGGGGTGATGTACTCTTCTGATCCTGATGGGACGTATCTCGCCCTGCTTTCTCAGTTGCAGCTTGTTGAGTTCGCTTTGCTGGAGGCTCACGGTTCGGAGGGCACTGGTACACTGATGAGGGCTTTCCTGGACGGCGTACTCGTCAAAACTCAGCTCTCAAGTCCCTCTGGATCATAAATGCAGCGAGCAAACATAGCTCGTGCTGCGAAAATAGGCTTGAAATTCTCACGACGCATTGCAACATCACGGCGCTTTGCCAGGTCTCCATCCTTTGGGAATCTGAGAAAACTAACCCCAGGAGGATGATGTGATACTGGCACAATCAACAACACAACAATTTGGCATTGCAGCGGCTCAGGCGACTTGGCAAACTACTTTCTGAAGTGACTTTCGTCCTGAAGAAAGTGAGATTCAAAATCCAAGTATTTTCGCACCATGCCACAATGACGTCACACATACATTGATATGGGGCGTGGCTAAAATTGAAATATCTCAAGAACGCTTTCTCGTAGAGACTTCGGACCAAGACCATTCGACTCAGCGCCCGAAACTCTACAGGCTATCAAATTTTCATTTTTTCGTGGAGTTCCCCTTTAACTCGTTTTCCTGTAAATAAAGAAGCTTGTTCCTAAACGTTTTCGTCGCCATCTCATCAGAGGATTACTGGCAAATCAACATTAGCTCTAAACTCTATATATATGCACAATGCAAGTAATAATTTAGACCCTAAACTAGCGCGAGAAAATGAGAGCTGAAAGAAACATTACATCAATCAACGATATCAGGTGACAACAGATGCGATAAATTCACCACTAGAAAGTAACCATGCAACCACTCACGAGAACTACTGATCTAAATTCACAAACAATTTCAACGTAAACAAATTCTTTTTCTCCCTACACAAAATCGGCTTGGTGGTAAAAATGTAGATAGACTCCAATACACGCAAATACCTTTGACTACGTGAACGAGACCAAACAGAAAAGCAATCATCAGTATAACTAGAACGACAAACACTATTCTGAACAAGATGGTGAGCAACAGAAGATTCATACACCCTAACACCACTACTAGAACCAGTACATACTTTGGAATTACGTGACACCGACATGACATTCCTTGCCGCTACTGCCAATCCAGACGAGGCCGATAAAGATGTCAGTACCAAAGGCACGTCCGTTAATGGCACTGCCTGCTGCGATGATGCTCCCTTTGACGTTCCAATGGCAGTTGATGTTGATGAAGAGGAGGAGGGAGATGAGGAAGATGCTGACGACGACGGAGACGATAAAGACTCTGCCAACCTCGCCCTAGAGCGAGTCACTGGTCCCGCAGACACTGGCCGCTCGCCTGGACGCTCGCCTGGCCGCTAGCCTCCCCGCTCGCCTGGCCGCTCGTCTGGCCGCTCGCCTGGCTGCTCGCCTGGCCGCACGTCTTTGAGCGCAGGCTTTGAGCGCCGGCTCTGAGCGGCGGCACTGACCACCGGCTCTGAGCGGCGGCTCTGAGCGGCGGCTCTGAGCGCCGGCTCTGAGCGCCTGCTCTAAGCGGCGGCTTTGAGCGCCGGCTCGCCTGGCCGCTCGCCTTGCCGCTCGGCTGGCCGTTAGGCTTTGAGCGCCGGCTTTGAGCACTCGATTTGAGCGCAGGCTCTGGGCACCGGCCCTGAGCGCCGGCTCGCCTGGCCGCTCGCCTGGCCGCTCGCCTGGCCGCTCGCATGGCCACTCGCCGGGCCGCTCGCCTGGCCGCTCGCCTGGCCGCTCGCCTGGCCGCTCGCCTGGCCGCTCGCCTGGCCGCTCGCCTGGCCGCTCGCCGGGCCGCTCGCCTGGCCGCTCGCCTGGCCGCTCGACTGGCCGCTCGACTGGCCGTTCGCCTGGCCGCTCGCCTGGCCGCTCGCCTGGCCGCTCGCCTGGCCGCTCGCCTGGCCGCTCGCCTGGCCGCTCGCCTGGCCGCTCGCATGGCCGCTCGCATGGCCGCTCGCCTGGCCGCTCGCCTGGCCGCTCGCCTGGCCGCTCGCCTGGCCGCTCGCCTGGCCGCTCGCCTGGCCGCTCGCCTGGCCGCTAGCCTGGCCGCTTGCCTGGTCGCTCGCCTGGTCGTTCGCCTGGATACTCGGCTGGCCGCTCGTCTTTGAGCGCCCTCTTTGAGCGCCGGCTCTGAGCGCCGGCTCTGAGCACCGGCTCTGAACGCCGGCTCTGAGCGCCGGACCTGAGCGCTGGCTCTGAGCTCGGCCCGCCTGGCCGCTCGCAATGCCGCTCGCCTGGCCGCTTGCATGGCCGCTAGCCTGGCCGCTTGCCTGGTCGCTCGCCTGGTCGTTCGCCTGGATACTCGGCTGGCCGCTCGTCTTTGAGCGCCCTCTTTGAGCGCCGGCTCTGAGCGCCGGCTCTGAGCACCGGCTCTGAACGCCAGCTCTGAGCGCCGGACCTGAGCGCTGGCTCTGAGCTCGGCCCGCCTGGCCGCTCGCAATGCCGCTCGCCTGGCCGCTTGCATGGTCGCTCGCCTGGTCGCTCACCTGGCCGCTCGCCTGGCCGCTCGCCTTGCCGCTCGCCTGGCCGCTCGCCTGGCCGCTCGCCTAGCCGCTCGCCTGGCCGCTCGCCTGGCTGCTCGCCTGGCCGCTCGCCTTGCCACTCGGCTGGCCGTTAGGCTTTGAGCGCCGTCTATGAGCACCGGATTTGAGCGCAGGCTCTGTGCGCCGGCTTCGAGCACTGGCTCGCCTGGCCGCTCGCCTGGCCGCTCGCCTGGCCGCTCGCCTGGCCGCTCGCCTGGCCGCTAGCGCCCCCGCTCGCCTGGCCGCTCGACTGGCTGCTCGCCTGGCCGCTCGTCTTTGAGCGCAAGCTTTACGCACCGGCCCTGAGCGGCGGCACTGAGCGCCGGCTCTGAGCGGCGGCTCTTAGCGGCGGCTCTGAGCGCCGGCTCTGAGCGCCGGCTCTGAGCGCCGGCTCTGAGCGCCTGCTCTTAGCGGCGGTTTCAGCGCCGGCTTTCAGCGCCGGCTCGCCGGGCCGCTCGCCTGGCCGCTCGCCTTGCCGCTCGCCTGGCCGTTAGGCTTTGAGCGCCGGCTTTGAGCACTGGATTTGAGTGCAGGCTCTGAGCACCGGTCCTGAGCGCCGACTCGCCTGGTCGCTCGCCTTGCCGCTCGCCTGGCCGCTCGCCTGGCCGCTCGCCTGGCCGCTCGCATTGCCGCTCGCATGGCCGCTCGCCTGGCCGCTCGCCTGGCCGTTCGCCTGGCCGCTCGCCTGGCCGCTTGCCTGGTCGCTCGCCTGGTCGTTCGCCTGGGCGTTCGCCTGGCCACTCGGCTGGCCGCTCGTCTTTGAGTGCCGGCTTTCAGCGCCGGCTCTTAGCGCTGGCTGTGAGCGCCGGCTCTGAACGCCGGCTCTGAGCGCCGGACCCGAGCGCTGGCTCTGAGCGCCGGCCCACCTGGCCGCTCGCAATGCCGCTCGCCTGGCCGCTCGCCTGGCCGCTCGCCTGGCCCTGGCTGCTCGCCAGGCCACTCGCCTTGCCACCCGGCTTGCCGTTAGGCTTTGAGCGCCGGCTTTGAGCACCGGATTTGAGCGCAGGCTTTGTGCGCCGGCTCTGAGCGCCGGCTCGCCTGGCCGCTCGCCTGGTCGCTCGCCTGGACGCTCGCCTGGACGCTCGCCTGGCCGCTCGCCTCCCCGCTGGCCTGGCCGCTGGCCTGGCCGCTCGCCTGGCCGCTCGTCTTTGAGCGCCGGCTTTGAGCGCCGGCTCTGAGCGGCGGCACTGAGCGGCGGCTCTGAGTGGCAGCTCTGAGCGGCGGCTCTGAGTGCCGGCTCTGAGCGCCGGGTCTGAGCGCCTGCTCTTAACGCCGGCTTTCAGCGCCGGCTCGCCTGGCCGCTCGCCTGGCCGCTCGCCTAGCCGCTCGCATGGCCGCTCGCGGGGCCGCTCGCCTGGCCGCTCGCCTGGCCGCTCGCCTGGCCGCTCGCCTGGCCGCTCGCCGGGCCGCTCGCCTGGCCGCTCGCCTGGCCGCTCGC